CTTACTAATGAGTAGTCTCAACTCATCAAACTAATCATTTCAGTACCAATTAAATCGAAGCTGCAGATATCTTAAAACTTCGGTTACTCGGTTTTTCGCGGTGGTTTAAGAACTCCTGAAGAGAAGCTCATTGGCGGTGATTCAGACCAAGCTATCGCTTTAATTTGGGAAATAATGTGGCGAGGTAAGACTCAGCTCCTGCTTCGTATCCTTAAACGAAACATTTGAAATAGTTGTGTACACAAGTTTCGGAGTACGAGTTCTTTTCAAAGGGCTCCTAAGGCCAAATTTCTTAACCCCTTTTTAGGTTTGTGACAGTTCGTTTTTATCCCTCTCCCCCAGCTTAAGCCAAGTTTGTATCAAAAGACGGGAACCACTGGTGTAGCCCTAAACATGGTCTCCATGATACAAAAATTGCGCAGGCCACAAAGAAACTTTGATGGTCAGCTTATCATCCGTCATACATCTGGACGCATATAATTAAGAAAATTAATATAAATTTTATCACTTTTGGCGAGAGTAGGGCTATTGCAACTAGTATGGGATCAAAAAGAACCAAACTGACCGGCAGCTTGATTTGTGAGGTTACAATTGTATCAATTAATTCAAGATTGGAACCTTACTGTTCAAAAATAAAAAAACCTTGTTTTATTGCATTTTAATGTTTCAACGTCATTCTCTATTAATGCTGTGAACTGCTAAACCTTGCATGTGTCTCAGCTATCTCCTTGGTAGATAATTCTGGAAGCAATAGTTTATTCGAGTTAATATGGTGAGTTCTACGTCACTCACGCTGCAATAAGTTAAGGGTTTCTCTCTCTCCTTTCTTGATAGTCATACCTTTGGAAGATGTGGACGAGTGGGTAGTTATCGCAAATGAATAGTTAATGTTGTGAGTTAAGCGCCCTCAAGGCGAGTGAGTCAAGACGAGGCTCGCACTCACCTCCAAATTACGTTTGACTGAGTGCAAATACAGCTCAAGCTCAAAGTTATAAGAATTCGGGAGAGCAATATAGGTGGGCATCAATAAAGAAATTTGGTTAAGTGAGAAAAGACTTGTGCTTTGAATTTCACTGTTTATAAAGCGATTAAAAGTAACGAGCAATGGTAGGCATGCTCGTTTTTAGATTAGGAAGAAAGCTCTCTGCAATGACAGAAAACCGTCAGTTAGCATTCACCACGACTAACGGCAGCCCAACAGGGCAAAACAAATTGCCTCAATTTTTTAAATTTTAAAATTAACTCAATGAGTCTATTTTGCGTCACAACTTCCTCAAGATGTTAAGCGGGTCTGCACTACTTTCATGGAAAACATCTTTACACCATTACTACAGAGGACCATCATATATATCTTAAACTTAATTGACAGTTCTAAACGTTTTGGAATTGCAAGTGACTTCTTATCTACTTCGCCAAAAATGCTGCTCGTTAATTTTAGCAGTTAAAAGCAAAAGGACGTTTTTGAAATTCTATGATTCTTTATGTGACTTTCAGCGTTAAAGGGGTACCGGAACAAATGAATTAATAATGTTTAAAATGCTTCCTCTTTACATGTCGGAAAAGTAATTTGTATACTGATTCTGCCTTCAAGGTTAGGCGTTGCTCCTTTCATCTAAGGTATTTGAACCAAAGCCATACTCCATCCATTTTGTTTAAACTTGTAAGAAGCGAATGGAGGGGCTTGGAAATAATTTTGCACTTTAAGATGGGGTGAAATTAACCCTTCAATGGGAAGCCAAAATAAGTTATGTACTTCCGAGTCTACAAGTCAGATTTAAATTTGCTGGAAAAGACTCCGATGCAGTGATTGTCACTGTGGATTGTATCGTCACAAACCACAAAAGCAAACCTATGAATTGAAGGTGGTAATTCACCACGACACTTTTCATATGGCCTTAATTGTAACTCGTACTTTCTTTAAAGGAAGACCTAGGGGGAGTAGTTCGAATAAATACGAAAAGTTAAGCAGGAACTTTACTTAACGAAATAGTTTAGCAAAAGCAGTTGATAAGAAAGGGTGTCTTGGTGTGGGAGTCCAGAAATAAGCCTCTACGTAAAGAGCATGTTGATTTGGCTATTCTACAGTCATAAGTATGGACAGGTGCTTAATGGTAATTTCATTACTTTTTATTGGAGCAGTCATACAGATTAAATATTTAATAAAAATACTGAAGAGTAGCTAGTGCAGAGGTTTTATGTGTGCAACCGGTTCTCTGAAATTGCCAGTGGCTCCTGCCATACCTGTAATGCATGGAATGATTGCTCGTTATGCCCACAACTGACAAATTTAAGAAAGTTGCCTTTAAAATGGTCGGTACAATTTTCGACGTCGTGGTTCGATTTACTACCACCATAGTCGAACAGGTGGTTTTTTATGTTATTACGGAATTATGGAAGTGAGTGTCGTCTTTGTTCAAAGGTAGACAAGATGGACATAAAGTGTATGGTCTTTGACGGGCAGTGTACAGCGTTTTTTTTCTAAGAAATTCGAAAGCTAATAAAGTAATTAATGATTGCCACTGTTGAAGGCGAACAAAGCATAAAGTGACATGAAGCCCATTAGAGTGATAATCTATTGAAAACTGCGGTGTGCGAGGTGCAAGCAAAATTCTGTATATTTTAGTGATTCTGTGTTTAGCCAAGTTTGGAACCAGGAAAGGAAATTTAAAATAAGTGCACTAAACATGTGCAATTATTTGGCTGGCTTTAATTTAGAAACAAGCAATGGAGCGATTTTCCTATTCCAAATGGTTGGTCATTCTGTTGCCTTTCACGGATGCACGCATAGGCCCGGAAAAGAGAACGGTTTGGATGCAGTGCTGATGTTCAGATAACAAATATTTACGCGACTCTCATCAGATGGTGACTATGAAAAACATATGCAATGAAATGTTAGAAGGCCCGTGGATGTGTTTTTTAAGAGAACAAAAAGTAAGAAAGGAAGGAAGTATATTTCTGACAGAATCACCCAGACTGCCGTGTTGCTTTAGACTGACGTATTAATCTATAAAGACGCAGAAAATCTCAAGTATGCAGCCATCATTGGCAGCATAGAAAAGTTATACAAAGACTGCACTCACGGCAATAACTTTGCGATTAAATTTTTCTATTTTGCTCACATGATTATTCAGGTGCTTTACCTTGCTTGCTAAGGCATTACAAAGCTGATAATTTACTGTACTTTACAGTGGGCCCTGAATTGTTCGCTTTTTAATAAAGTTTAGACACAGACCACAAGAGAAAGCCCAGAGGAGATGCCTCAGATGCAAGGTAGAGTTGTCTTTATGCTCCCAGTTAAGTTCAAATTGTACATATAGTGGTTATGATGCTTATTCAAATCTACTTGACTCGTGTAGATCGCGGATCAAACATAATTTAGAAGCTGATGATGTGAGGCAAAGCATTTGAAGGCGCTTTAGCCACTGATGTATTAAAGGCTAGGTCCTAGAAACATTAAAATTTTACGTCGACAACAAATTACATTCGCATAGAAATTATGAGAAGCGGGTAAAAATTGTGGCAATAATTGTCCTTGGCGAAAATTGTGACTCTACAACTACAAAACAGGAAAGACAAATGACAGCGGCGGATACTTTGGAGCAGAGATGCACATTCCATCTAATAGTGGGATAGAGGCTCAGTAAAATCGAAGAGGTATGGGAATCTTCAAAAACACTGTGAACTTCATTTCCGACTAACTCTCAAAATAACGGTAAGTAGCGATAGACTTTACGAGAATACCTTAACTATGTTACCCTTTCACTAGGAGGACTTAATAGACGATGTTATTTACATAACTGATCACAATTTATTAATGCCTGCTGAGTTGTCAGAGAGATAACAGGAATAAATGAATCTGGGACCGGGTTTCAGATCAGAGCAAAGAACAATGGTGAACGGCAAAAAGGTAATCTATCCAGAGTGAGAGTCTTCAAAACCAGAAGATGAGCGTTGGAAGAGAGAGGGACTTTCGTAAAGAATACAAAGAATGAAAGTGAAGAGGAAGGTAAGAGGAAGAAGGAAGAGAATACGAGGAGAAGAAAATCACCTTCAAATGCAACTTCCTGAGTGTAGGAGTCCTGTGTATATGCTCCTCCGACCGACGGAAATGATAACAGTAGCAGGATGGAAAAAGGCTTTAGCTAAATCAAGAAAACCTACAGGTTTGGTCCGTATGGTATTGTTAAAGTGGTCAGAAAACATGATTTCGCATGCCTCGGCAGCCCATGCCACCAGGGTTGGACCCAGAAAAAAGCGGTAATCTATAAATACAGGCGAAGGACAGAGGTAGAGTGAGAGAAAAAGACACGAGAAAATAATTTACAAAAGTGAAGGGTGATAAATAACAACGCCGTACTCGCATACACACGAGAGCGAGTACGCACACGCATAGAGGGTCTATAAAAAGTGCGTTGACAATATTGAGGTTGCGCGAGACTTGGTCAAGACGGCGGTGAGGTGGAGCAAGCGTAGAGGAAGAAGGGACAAGAGTTCAGTAAACCAGAAACAGGAGGGAGGAGAAGGGGAAGAAACTTTAAATAAAATCGTTAAACCAGAAAAGATTTTGGCTGCCTGAGTGGAAAGAGAAATAAATTAAATAAGTTTTGGGAGGAACACAAGAGTACAGAATGGCTCAAGATAGAATTTTATCTACAGCATGCAAGGGACTAACGGTATGGATGCTAATGGAGGGTGGAGAAAGATTTGTGGTCCCAGTAGACGGCTAGTCACACCCAGCGTGAGTCTAGGCTAACAGTTTATAAATACCGAATTTGAAAGAAGGAAAGAGAAGAAAAAGGAAGTTAGGTTTGCAATGGGGGTGGAAGATAATGGGAGATTTCCACAATAGTGTTTATATAAATATTCCTACACACACAGGCATGTGAGTTTGGAAGAGGGCAGGAAGTGAGATAAGTGGAGAGGAGTAAGAGGAGAAATCTGGAATTTGCTGGAACGCGGAAGCTAGGAAGAGAGGGAAAGAGACTGGATATCAGCCATTGCTACACTGCCGAGGTGCCTCGATTGACGTTTTCTATGAAGCGACTAAAATCCTCCTCCGTGCCTGTGATCTTGGCGTGACGATAGTTGTTCCACAGAGTGGCAGTGACGTCGAGGGCAATAAGATCACTAGATGCCCGTGAGACGACCTGGAGGATGAGAACTCCATCGGGACCCAAATTGTTGTTCACAAAGCGCGTACAGTCACGTTCCTCAGTGTTGGAAAGCTGGCGGATAGCTCGAATATATTGCTTAATATAGGCGATCCGTCGGACCGGTACTAACGTGTTGAAGGCCCACTGCAGTGTGCTAAACGCGGTAAAGGCACCCAGGAGGAGAAACCAGAACCAGAGAAAGACGAAGATCTTTTCAACGAAGTAGTTGATTGGAAGTACGCATTGAAGGGTATAGCTGTGGGAGAAACAAGAATTTTACATTTACAGGTAAATCCGTTATTCCATGAAGCGATACCTTGCGTGAATGAAAGCAGAATATGCTTTATGTGGTCGATAGTGTACAATTTCTGCAAGATCCATAAATGCCTACCAAAGAAGCTGCAAACGTAAGTTCTTAACAAGCACTTAGAAGCACTCTGCTTTATATTTTTATTGACTGTCCTGCTCACTTCCATGGTGGCTGGAATTGCGCACCTTGCAGTAGTGGGTAAAACTCACGTGGAGGATAGACCAGGGTTCTCCTATCAATTACTTGTAAGAGGCTCAGTTTTGCCCGTGGTACATTGAATGGACCTTCTAGTGACTTTTAACCGTAGGTACAAGAAAATGTCGAACTGCCTTACAAAACATATGGTATGAAGTACCAAAAACGCTCGAGCAGGTATTCCCAGAAAGTTGTTTGTTGCTGTCACATAATGTTAACATCAAACCGACATTTCGCAAGTTCTGGCCTTTTCTTGTCCGCACCTGATTTTTTACATACGAAGCTAATTGCATCCTTGTGATATCGTTATTAACCAAGGCGCTTCCATAATCGGCACATTATGTAGCTCAATTTTATTTGCAAGCAATAATCAGGTATGTGATTTACGCAAAAAATACATTTCGTCTTGGAATGCCAAAACTACTTGCGAATAATCTGGCTATCTAGTATTCATTTTTATCAATATTTTCGTCCCAAATTTTCTTGCCATCTTTCTCACAGTGATACATCAGTAGCTATAAGAAAAGAAGATCCACTTTTTGGAGTTGCATCTGAAATTCACAATTTAAGATGCCTCATTAAGACATTGCGCCGGGTAAAAGAAGGGAGTGTTTTGGAATGCAACTAAAACCTCAGATGCTACCATTCTTGTTCCCTCTCCCTCTGTGCTGATAGGAAGCACATTTAATGCATCCACAAGAACCAAGCAAGAACTATTTTAAATCCTATGTTTATCGGCTGTTCTCGAAGCTGTTTCTTTAAGGAGGCCAACAGGAGAGGCCTTTCGTGTCTCAAAACCGAATTGTACTTCGGGATACATTTGTTGTTCTGTCGTCCACATCGTTGTTTTGGTTGGATTCTTGCTGGATTGAAAAGTCACACGAATCGGTGTCCAAATGTAACATCAGCATCAGTGGTACCGAACTATGGGAAGATTCAGAAGCATTCCAAAGAAGACTGGCAAATGCATGGGATGCTAGAAACATATTTAAAAGGATGACTGCACAGCTCAGTCCCATTTATTAACCAAATTTCGCAGAGTCTTTTCCTACGCAACCAATTAGGTTGGTGTTGAGGTAGGGATTCATTGTTTACATAAGCGGCTGAGGAACTACACTAGGTTCTAAAACATTCTAAAATAATTCACCTTAGTCTGAACTTCAACTACTATTTTGAAGATTAGACAAATGTTTGAGAAATAAATTGATCATTTTTTTATTTCACCTAGTCTTTACCTTGCAGGTTTGATTTGTCCCATTTTTCTAACATTGACTGTACAGTAGGTGACCCGTGGGAATTGTCCGGTAGTCTCCCAGTCGCGTCCAGCTATTAAATTGTTGAGCATGTCTATGCCAAAGTAGGAGCTATTACTACCAATGAAATGTTTCATCAGGTAGATCTGTCCCACCGAATTGCCGATGAAGAGGCATCGGACAAAGAAAAAAAGGAGGGTGATCTCGATATTTGGTCGAATGGAGCAAAAGATACGTTTGAGGGAGGACTTGACGCGTTTTTGGCGAGCAGTGGACTCAGAGATCTCCTCCAATGTGGCAACCAAACAGGAAACGGCTTTTTGTCGCAACTCGCGGTCGGGAATAGCAGCCTCACGAGCAGAGCGCAGGAGAATGGGTAGACGTTTTGAGCCCACCCTCCATACTAGGTAGGGCACCCAGGAGAGCATCGCTTGGCCAGCCAAAACAATTACTATCCACTGATAGTAACCTACGTACTTCACTCGGTGCAATTCAAAGTCATCCTCTGGTACGTCTTCATTTGGCAGCAGGAAGTAGGTATTCTGGATCCAACACAAATTCTCTGCATACTCTTCCCATGGATGCTTGAATTCCTGCGGTACCCAGCACTGAATGGGCTTTCCTGTTCACAAAATCACACAAATTAAAGCTTGTTTTAACTAGCTACTTACTGAAATACCACTTTTTATTTATAGAGTGGTCTACTTTTGCCATAAAATGCAAATTCTTTGGGTTGGAACCTAATCACCAACTTAAGAGTAGGTTGGAGCATAAAAACATATAAAACGGCACTTCACTGCACAAGGTACGCAATTAAATCAACATTGTAGTGCCATTGTAAATCCTCAACTCAGTTCCTACCGAGCAACTTGCTTTTTTATCATAAATAAGGGACAAATCGAGTTGAATTTGGTTATTTCCATTTCCTAGTACGACTACGGTCCATCAAAAGACACGTGTCTTGCCTTCCCCACTGAGACCATCTGCTGTTAATAAAGATGTCTCCTTAGGAGGCTCAGGATCTTTAATTATCCCACAAAAACTAACTAGCAACTTTCCTTCCTGCCTCATTTTAGGCTAAAAACGGGCAAGGTGACGTGCATGGTAGACTGTTTCAAAACTTCCATGCATGAAGAAAGATGGTGAATGGTTGATACTTTGACATAAAAGACCATCAGTTGTATTGGGACAGTTGATGAGAAAATTAAGTTAAAAGAGCAAAACTTTTTTACCTCAGCTGTAAGTGAATTGTTTAAAGGAGATTATAAAGTACAAAGGGAATGGGAGCGTTGAGAAGCCTGCGCTATGGTGTCTAATGCCACAAAACCTCACTAAAATTGTGTCATCTATTTGCTGTAGTTCTATGCTTTCCCAGCAGTGGTAGTTCGCGAAAGCCAGTCTCATGGCCTTTTCTGTGTGTTTTTAAATCCTGGAAATAACTATTTAAGAAATCTGTGAATACTCGAGACTATTTAACTTCATTTCATAAGCATCAAATGCATTCTTTTAAGGTATTTTATTACATTTTGGTCTCAATCCTGGTGGAACTGCCATTGTCATACAAGTCAGGCTACAAAAAACGATTGCATTGGCACCCAGTTTTCTATAGCAATATTAGCCACTCGAATCGCCAACAATATGCAGATCACAAGCTATAAGTGAAAACACGATAATTTATATGGCAAAGCTACGAAAAGTGAAGTCTGAGTGCAAGTGAAATGTGAGCCAAAACGCAACATATCCATCCCATGTCTACTGCACATTGATCTCACATTACAGCCATTTTCACCATTGTTCTCTTAACAATTCTCCCCCAGTCATGCTCCCAACTGTAGAAGGAACAGAGGAAAGTCGGCATTTGTTACGTCTTATCTACTTAACCGTCAAATATTCATGCCATTTTTTCGCTGCACACTTTCAATTAAGCTACATTAAAAGTTGTACGGCTTCATTATCGAAGCGTACATTCAATTTAGGCAGCATAAGACGATTGACCCAAACTCAGTTTTGTGTTTATAAAGTATGGGCTCTACCAATCTCCTGTTTCCGGAATCGTAAAGTTTATAGTGACAATGAGTTCATCAAAGTCTTGAATTAGCGTACTGTACATAGGAAAAATTATGCGGAGTGGTTCATCGTGAAAAAGTCTCTGCCCATATTTACTTGCAACTAGATTAACTCATATTCCCAAACTCAATCAGCCTTAGACACCAAATGCATTGTGCTAATGTTTACAAAAAAAGTGACATTAAAGCGTATTTACACATAAGACTAGACCAACTTCCAAAGTTTTTACAAGCTACGGGTTTGCAGAGCTAAGGATACTGTTGAAGGCAAGATTATCTTACTGTACTTATTAATCGTTATCTATCTTAGTGCTTAGGTTAAGCCTTTCTAGCTCACAATGACAAGTAGGCATGCACTAGCTGTTTTTTTTATAAATCAGTGCCACCGAACGTGGAGACCGCTCACCTCTGCGGTACCTTGAGGAGATTGATTTGGGTGCAACCAGCCAAATGAAATGTGTTCGTACAATCCTTAGAGCAAAATTAGAGGCACGTGGCTTGTTTGGGGACATTTGTTTCCCAAACGATGAAGCTTTTTATTTTATACACCTAAGGATCCTGAATTATGAGTGTGGTAACTTAATGTAACGTCGCCCTCAGCTATGTAGACGTTTCGAGTGCCAAGCGGAAAAGTCAGCCTAGCTTCACTTGGTTGTTGTTCCACGAGGAGTCGATAACAAACTGTAAAATAACTACTTGTTCGTTTCAAGCTGCCATATTTAGTAAAGAAAAGCGGCTTAAATGCAATCACTTATTTTGCATTCGCATTTGCAACTTGCTTCTAAACACATCATTTCGACAAGTTAATAATGAATAATGGGACTGAGTGGAAAATGTTGGTTACGTACTGCCATTGTTGATGTGAGCTTAAAAGAAAGGTCAGTAGTATTTTTTAGCAATGACTTATATGCAGTAATGTCTGTGGTGTTTTAGGCGTTCTCTCGGCAGTCTGCCCTAATCATCCATTTGGTGTTCAGTTAGAAATATGCAACCTTTACTAAACTGAGCTTTTATTACCTCTGGTGAGCGTCCTGGGCAATTTGAGCGGCCAGGTTCCATAGTGACCGCGTGGTTTGCAGCACTTTAAAGCCTGTAATCTAGTAAATCAACACTGGAATTCCATACAATAGGGGTGGTTTTGTTCGCTAGAACTGGGATTTGATGTTAGTACATCCTTGTTGGAATTTACCACACAAATTTGTCTCAATCTTCTTCCGTGTTTTAGTAAACCTAGACGTTTCAAGATCTCAAAAGAAACAATATTCTGATTAAATCATTACCTCCTCATGCTTGAAGACAGCAGATTTAATGCCGCCATATTCATTAAATGAGTAAATGTATTAATACTAAGCCTTTCTTTCATTTTATGGTTTCGTATAACCGGGCAGCAGCAATTTTACCGTACACGAGACTATGGAACAAAGGAAAGAGCTGTGCATTTTGGTGAGCAAAGGTGCATTCTCTTCCCGTGCCAAAGCTACACATTCAACACAAATTATGTTTTCACGACAGCCTTTCTGCTTGTATAGCCCAAATTTGACTGTGGAATACCAAAGAGTAAATCACTCTTCCTACAGGCAAAACTGCTTTTAGGTTTTGAGACCATAAGAGTTAAGCACCGATTTTGCTTACTGAAGGTAATATTGCCGAATAACTCTCTTCCTGGTTCAGTGAATGCGCAAAAATAAATCGTTTTCATAAACTAAGTTGTTTGCGTGCATTGAAATATTTATTTTCAGGCGTGGCTAGGAAATTGAAGAAATGACTTTATTTTCCTGGCTAGATCTCTCTGCTTCCAATGATTAAGTTGACTGGAACAACTAATGAGTATTTTTACAAAGGAAAATTTTAAGTAACTAACTGCTTGCCGTATAACAATGGAATATGCTAATTAGGTAAAGAAAGGAAGTAAAAAGCTGATTACGAATTCTCAACATTTTACCTTACAGCTTTGCTTGGTGTTTTCTTCCTTACAATCTCTCTTTTGCGATTCACTCCTTGAAGTCATAGCATCTCGGAAACCAACTTTTGATTAGATATTTTGCATTGGGCACTTCAGCCCACAGGAAAATCCTTAAAAACAATCCACTGTAGAGTTTATAAATAATTACAAGACCATTTGTAACTCTTCCTCTATCTTACAGCAGCATCCCGAGGGAATGTTCGCATTTATTGCCACCTAGCAACGAGACTCAATCCTGCTCATAAATTCGGTCATAAGCCAAAATAATTAGTGATTTTTTCGTGCCTTCCTAGTTCTACGTTAAAAAAGGTACTGTGCACTTCTTGCGTACCAAACTCGCTCTCTCAAGGTCATTTCGATTGTTACAAGATGATGAAGAAGTTGCGAATAAGTTGCTGCTTACATTGGGGAGAAAAAATGCTACATTTGCAAGGCAATCCCTAGCAAATGAATCCTGTTTTATCAAAAACGGGTTTTGGCATAAAATGTTAAACATCTCCTAAAGGCGTAAACGATTCATGGAGCCTATCTCCGTGGATCATAGAAGCTGCACAAACATTTCGAGTGATAATGTCGGTCCCCTAAAGAGGTATTTAATTGGGGCAACAAGGTTAGAGGTGTTTTTTTTTTTCATTTCAGCACAGGGCACTTAGTTGCTTAAACAAGGTTTGAAGCAACTTGTCATAGGAGTGCGTCGGGAACTTCAGGAATGCGTCTATTTGGTACTGTCCAGTTGAGCCCGCGACACCGGGAAGCAGTAAATCTGTGCACGCTCCTCTCACCAGGCACAAAAGAAAAACGTAATCAAAATCAAACGTTCAACAGGAAGTACGCGTGTTTGACTCTGCTTGAAGGCAAAAGCAACCGTAACAAAAGTGTGATGATAAAACTGGAGTCGGCGTGATTCTTTTTTAATGCAACCTACCTGCACACACACCCACATAAAAGCCACTCTTCTAAATAAAACCTCGTACAAACATATACGCACACTCACGGAGAGAGAGCAGTCTCTCAGTCCAGAAGAACGGAAGTGGGATGCATTAAAAGGAACACGGTTGGCGTGGAGAGTGAAACCAGGCGGTAAGTCAAACATAAGAAATAGTTGTGGAAAGAGTTTTGACGCGCTTATTTTGTCAGTCCTTGTCCCAAATAACCAAGCAAAGGCATTCGCCCGCTTAAGTCTATTACCCAGGATAGCAAAACAGGAAGTAGAAAGAAATGGCTTGAAAAGTGTGCACATATGGCTCAGTATACTCAAGTAAGTTTTGTCCGACGAAATTTATTAAATTATGTTCAGTAAAATATTTGCATTTCCGAGGAGTTCGACAATTCAGTCATTCACGTTTTATTCGACCACGATGCTGGCTGCACCAAGCAACTGGCATGACCAACCTCTTAAAAGACCACTATACGGCTTAATGTGTGCTTTAAGGCCAAATGGCAGCTTTAAAAATAGGTACTGACTTTGTTATTAAGGATCGTGATGTGTTGTAAGTCCCCATCATTAACATCATCTGGGGAAACTGACTGAACGCTGGGTGCAAGTTGGAGCCGCAAAGACTGGCGAACGAACCAAATTACACATGACTACATTACATTTTACCTGCATTGGGAGTAAGATGCGCAGTATTAAAGATATGCGTTTCATTGCTTACTGGATTTCACATTAGCACTGGGCCAATCCCATATGCGCAGTGTTGATTCACTGAAGAACACAAAATTATTCTTGGAGTATTCAAAGTC